AACACCTCAAAAGTATTTTTTTTTTTCAAAAGTACTTTCCGGGAGGTTGACTCCACCGGTTGATTGTCGTTTGACTAATTAATTCGAAAAGTACTTTGAGCAACAATTAATGTTTGACCAAACTTTAAAAAAATGCTTCTGTATTTTTTTCAAAAATGCTTTTGGAGAGAATCTACTTTTTTCTGCTACTCCAAAACTGCTTCTACTTCTACGCAAGAGCACTTTTTTTCCTTTCTAATAGCCTGTTTGGCCAATCATTTTTTTGGGTCCAAAAGTGTTTTTTTTTCTTTTCCCAAAAGCACTTTTGGCCAAAAATTGAGGCGTTTGGCCAAGCTTTGGAAGAAAAAAGTGCTTTTGAGGAGAAGCAGAAGCATAAGCATTTTTTGAGAAGCAGAAAAAAGTAGCTTCTCTCCAAAAGCACTTTTGAGAAAAATACACTTAGAAGCAGTTTTCAAAAGCTTGGTAAAACACTAATTACTGCTCAAAAGTGCTTTTCAAATTAATTAGCCAAACACAAACTGCTTCTCACCAAAAACAATTTTTTAAAAGTACTTTTGAGAAACGTATTTTTTTTAAAAAGTACTTTTGAGAAAAACGTTTTTCAAAATAAGTTGATTTTAAAGGGAAAATTTCACATAAGAACAACTGAGCTTCCTGCTTTTCAATTTTATAGCCCATATTTTAATTTACAACCAACTAGCCCAAAAATAATAGGCTAAGATTCAACATCCAATTCCAATAGGTTCTAGAAATTACTATTTAATTTTTACAAAAGATTGCTCAAGCTTTTAAGTTAATTTTTGAATCAGTAATTGTGACTCAAATATTAGTTCAACAAACCAAATCCATTTGGATGGTGAAAATTAAATTTTTAACAAGCTTAAACATGTGGGTTTAAATTTCGAATTTGATTTTGTGAGAAAGTTGGAGTGGTTGTTATTTAGACTTGTTAGAAATAGTTTAAGGAGGTTGTATATAAAATTTGAAGTCATTTAATGGAGATTTGGACTGGTTTTGAACAAGAATTGCAACTGAAAATCGTGGAAGAAGTTCGTCTACAGGCGCTTGTATAAAGGTGTATGAAAGTGTATAATAGTGTATAAGATATGTTTATACACTATTATACAAGATTATACATAATTATACAAAAAACTGACTTCGTCTTCTTCCTTGCGTCTTTTCTAAAATTTAACTCAAATCTTGCTCAAATTTACTCCAAATCACTTCAAATTTAAATTTTGAACTCCTTTTGATATTTTCAATCAATTGGAACAACACCCAACAACTAACAAATTCGAAAGCAAAGCTTTGAATGGCCTTCAATGGTGGACTTCTACTCTTCAATTTTCTTACATTGCAACCAAATGACACAGGTTAAGAAGCAACAATGGCGGACGACCCTTTGAAGCATATGTAGAAGATGTGAAAAGAGAGAGCGAAAGCAATGGTTGTGAGAACACATATTTAACTCCATAGCTTTTAGAAGCAATGGTTGTAAGAACACAAGTTTTGAATTTGCCAGTGCTTTCAAAATATGTACAATATGGGCTAGGTTGGGTAAAACTTAAAAACATGGGCCATTTTTTGTTATGGTGTGAAGTCATATGTATTTTCTTGTAATTCTTTCGATTTTAAAAGCTTGGCCAAACAGGCTATAAGCTTGGACACTTCAACTTAAAAAAAAAAAATACTTCTTTTTAAAAAAAAAATATTTTTGACCTTGGAAAAGCTTGGCCAAATAGGCTATAAAAGTGAGAAATCTCTTAATCATACGAAATAGTTGCATTGCCTTTTCCTGTATTGAAAATATTGGTAAATTTTATAGGTGGTACCTAATTAATATGTTGTTCAATAATAATACTTTAAACTTCATTTCTTTATGTTTGAATTCGTTTTTAAAGTAACCAAACTTACCATTTTTTTTAAAACAAAATTTAGGTCATGTTTTAATAGAGTTCCCAAAATCGACTATTGATACACTTGCCCCTGGACTATGCGGGGCAATAGCCTATTTGGCCAAACTTCTAAAATTAGCTTATTTTGAAAAGTGCCTTTTAAGAAAGTACTGAGAGACAATTTGTGTTTGGTTAATTAATTTGAAAAGTACTTTTGGGCAGCAATTATTTATTCGCCAAGCTTTTAGATATATTTTTTTCAAAAGTATTTTTCAAAAAGTGCTTTAGGGAAAAAACTACTTTTTTGACTTCTTAAAAATTACTTTTGCTTCTATTCAAAAGTATATCTTTTCTTTTAAAAGTTTGACCAAATACCTTAACTTTAGAAAAGTAGCACGTTTGACAAAAAAGAAACTTCGCCAAACAGGTTATAAGTGGAATTGGATAATTTCAGGTTTCCCGGATCCTTATCGGGTTCTGACGGGTCCCAGTGCAGCTCCAAACCCGCTAGTGCCACCTGACCCGAAAAATATTTTCAGAATGATTGATCAAATTATACTTTCTCGTTTTGTCAAAAAATGCCACCTGACCCGAGAAATTATACTTCGTCCAAATGCAGCGCGCATTAGCAGTTCACCCTTTTCAATGCTTCTACACACCCCGTTTCGATCCAAAACCTTACTTTTACAACTCTCCTAAAATTCATACACTGTATCCTTATTCCAATTCTACTTCTTTTTCACTTTCCAGAGAGCTAAAAGTTCTTGCTGCTAACAAACAGCAACCCCATGATATAATAAATTCTGAAAATAGAGGTTTTGCTCACTCTTCTGTCTTCTATTTCGCTTTTTCTTTTTTCAAAATTGAATTTCATTTTTTATTTTCAGATGATGAAAATGAGTTGTTACATGAAAAGGTTGTTGCTGCTGCTGCTGATGATGATGAAATGGATTTGGGATGGTTACCTGCCTTTCCTCACGTTTTGACTGCTTCAATGTCCAATTTCCTATTTGGTTATCACATTGGGTAATTATGCTACTTGTTATTTTTTCTTCTTAATCTTGTTTGCTTGTCTCTAGAAATTTATAAATATCACATGGTTATTATGAGAAAGAACACTTTACACTTGAAAATCTTGCCTGAGCTGGAACTAGTTTAGAACTAATGTCTTGTGAAGTAACAACAACAACAAAAACCCAGTATAATCCCACTTGTGGGGTCTGGGTCTGGGGAGGATAGTGTGTACGCTGACCTTAGCCCTACCCAGGGTAGAGAGGCTGTTTCCGATAGACCCTCAGATTCTAGTGTCTTCTGAAGTAAGTTCATGAAACTTTATATTGCATCTGTATACATACAATCATCAGAACTGGAAAAAGAAAATATTGTTTAGCTATGACCTTACAAAGAACAACTGTTTATTTTTGTTACTTGTAACTTATAGTGAATTAGAATCTAAAAAATGGAAGCTTTATGTTTACTTTAGTGTCCGGGGACTTCAGATGTATCTTGTATGATTCTTAGTTTTTTGTTTTTAGTGTTTGATTTTTTGCTATATTATGCAGAGTAATGAATGGTCCTATTGTATCGATAGCGAAAGAGCTTGGGTTTGAGGGGAATTCATTTCTTGAAGGACTTGTGGTGAGCATATTTATTGGTGGTGCATTCATAGGAAGCATAGCCTCTGGTTCCCTTGTTGATAAACTTGGTTATCGTCGCACATTTCAAATTGATACACTACCTCTTATTCTTGGGGCAATTGTAAGGTAATCCATTTTTGATCATGCATATTGGTATTTGCAGCTTGACTTCTTACCCAAAAGAATTATGCAGTTCTAAGTATGAAATCATTCCTATAATTTAGGCTAATTTTGGACGTTGATTCATATTCCATTTGAGGATAAATATTTACATGTATACATAGTTTAGGAAGTACATAAACAAAACATTTCAGATTTAAGATCATAATAAGGTTTGCGATCTTATTCTCAATTTATATTTTCTCTTCTTGATCGAGGTAAGAGTAGATATTTCATTGTAGTTTAATAGAAGCTGGTCTCAGAATTCAGATAAAGTAACTTATCTTTTATAAAAGATTATCTCAAAAATTGAGATAAAGTTATGCTTTTCAAGAATTTATCCTCTTAAATAGAAGTAGTATTCCGATGTTACGTTTTCTCCAGCAAATGAGTGAAAACATATTAGAAAATATAGACAAATAGTTTCCTTTTATGAACGTCAGCATAGTTTTTGGATAAACTGATCTCGTGTGAAATAGAACTGATAGGTAGTGAGATTTTTCGTACTTTATTTTATAACCGAGAAATCCCCAAGGGCCAGTGGCACTCGGTTGGAAATTCGGTGGATAATGAGCCCCCCATCCACCCTTTTCCAAAAGATTTTTCGTTACTTAAGATGGTGGGACAGTTGCGAATTGGATTATATTCTCATTCACTTGTTAAATCTTCTGGCTTCTTGTCTACGCCTAACAACTGGAAAGAGTAGAAGAATAATTTGCTTGTGCTTCAGTAATTGCCAATTTTGATGTGTGATGTCCTTCAATTGACAGTGCACAAGCTCATTCCATTGAAGAAATGCTCTTGGGAAGATTCCTTGTTGGCCTTGGTATTGGTGTTAATACAGTATTAGTTCCAATTTATATTTCTGAGGTATGCCTCTTAACTTATAATTTCCTTATCTAAGTCCGCATTCTGAAAGTTTTAAAAAAAAGGTCATGCTTTAGAATCTATCCTAACTTTTGTTTTTGCTGTTCATTTCTGGGGTGCATGGAGAGGTAAGTCTGATTGAAAAAGATACTGGGGGGAAAATCTGAATAAACTACTTAGTCGTGTGGTTTGGCTACTCTTAGCTTCCCAGATTGGAATCCAAGGATGAGATTTACTAATCTGTGATTCATAATTTAGCCTTTTGGGGAAAAAGAAGAAGAAAACGGGAAAATTTCTAGAAGGAACATATTGAACTTTAGACATCCTCATAAGACACGCTAAAACATCTTGGAAGACAGCTGCAGCTGAGAGATGATAATTCTGGTTTGCAAATTTTGTGCTGACTGTCCTTGAATATTTTTGGTGAGTTATGTTTTTTCCGTTCTTGTTTTTGAGAGTGATGAGCTATCTTTTACTAAGGAGGGAAAGGCTTCTTGAGAATGTTCCTTTGTTTTGGGGGAAGTGTTTGTGGGATATTCTTTTGCTTGACAATACATATCTATTCGATCAATCAGATCTGTAGGGGTGCAGAGATACTTTGAAGAGAGATTTTATTTCTCTGATAATCTTAAATGCTTGTATTGTAGGTCGCTCCAACGAAATATAGGGGCTCCCTGGGGTCATCATGTCAAATTGGTACATGTGTTGGTATCATTGCATCACTTTGTCTGGCAATTCCCTCAGAAAATGATCCACACTGGTGAGTACTTGTAGTTATCTTTTTCTATTCCACTACCTTCCACCGCAGTCAGTGTACCGAACTCTGTTGAAATGATTTAAATTGATTATGTTGCCATGTTGCAAGAACTCCTAAATTCAAGTGTGATGGTAATCCGTATCTTTATCAGAATCTAGATCCAGCTTTAATGTTGAATTTAAGACTTCATAAAATAATTTTAATCCTTGAGGGCCTTTCTTTGCCTTTCTGCTTTTGAAGTTTAATTTATTACTTTAGATTAGGGGTGTGCATTCGAATCGGTTTATCGATAAATCGAATCGATTATTTGTTATCGGTTTATCGATTTATCAATTTCGATTTCAATTTCGAAATTTTCCTTATCGAGTTATCAATTTCGATTTCGATTTTGTCCTCTTCGGTTATCGGTTTATCGATAAACCGATAAGAAATACAAAAAAAAAAAATTAATTTTTTTTAATTATTATTATTATTATTATTATTTTTTACCCTTATTCTATAATACCCTTTCCTTTACCCTAAGTCCCTAACCCTATTATTTCATCTACCACATTTAAGGAATGATCATATTTAAAGCTCAAGGGAATGAAGTTCAAATTAATGGAAATAGAATTAGCCGTGATGATGTATTTTTATTTTTTTTATACCGTTGGAGTGTTGGTGGCATACATTTGATCCCTTACTTTAGTTTCGTTGCATGTGCTAGTTGACACAATTTTTATGTTATAAACGGTGTTCGTCTTATTTTAGCTTCTTTTGGTCCATATTAGTTAGGTGTGTTTATAGCGATATACTTTCCGTGGAATCCCGCAAATTTTCTTATTGGTGTAATCGATAACCGAATCGATAAGCCCCAAAAATCGATAAATCGAAATCGAAAAAATCGAAACCTTATTGAAACGATAACGATAAGCATATGCACAAATCGATAACCGATAAGTAATTATCGATAAGGGTCAAAATCGAATCGATAAATCGAATGCACACCCCTACTTTAGATTCCAACTTCTAATCATCCTAGCTTATGTTATGCGGGAACAATAAGAACCTGTTCTGTTGTCTGGCAATGAACTAGCTGATACTCCTTCCCTCTTTCATTTTATGTTCTGATGCTTTTATGGGTCATTTGGTTTGAGATAAGAAAAATTAATCCTGGTATAAAACTCTGCATAACTTATGGAGCATTTCATTTCCAATATAAAAACCATGTAAAGGTAACACAATCTCCGCATAACTAATTCAACGTTTGGTTTCCGGTATGAAACTCTAAATAAGTTACTAATATTAGCCAATGTTTTAAAAGGCGGGGGGCGTGAGGCGAGGGTTTTACCTCTGACGAGGCGAGGCGTAAGCCCTGAGACTTGGGGCATAAGTGCCAAGGATCTTTAAATTTTACTAATTTCAAAATTTTAAAATAGTATAAAATAAAAAATAATTATAAAAATTACATTAAAATCACAAAATTATAACAAATAATCTATTTAAAATATTTATAAAGTATAATTCAACTATAAATAATACGAAAAGTATGACATATATCATAAAATGCAAATTAGCTGCAATGTCATTACAACTCAAACATCAAAAGTAATGTATTCGATACGAAATCTTATATGTATCTCTTAAGGAGTAATGAATCTTGAAAGAATTTCGATATTATAATTTGATATTTTTCTTAAAATACTCATTTTATTTAATATGTTTTCTATTTGAAAGAGAATTAATATAAAAACATAATTCACAATTCCAATATGATTCTCTAGCATCATTTATTTTTAAGTTTCAACAAGTTAATAAAGTGACACAATTCACCACACAATACCATGATAACTAACTATTTGTAAGTAGTTACTAGCTAATACCGAGCTATTAAATTTATAAGTATTGCATCTCATAAACGTGAAAAAAAATAATATTTAGAAAAATAATTATAAAAAAATTATGGACTATTAAATAGTAAAGACATAACAAAAGTTAATAAATAAATACTTTTTAAATGAAAGATTTATTTAAAATTAACTATCATAGCAATCCTAGTGGATAACGTACAATAATTTTTATTTTAATTATGACATAAAATACTTTTAACTTAATGATTTATGATTAAGAAAAAAGTAATTTTGAATAGTCAACGATTTATTAAGAAAATTTGAGGATTTACAAGGTTAGTTACATACAATTGCATAAAGTTCTATTAGGCGAGCCCAGTACGCTGAGCGTTGGGCGTGTCCGAGGCTTAAGCCCCGATGGCCGAGGCGTAAGTCTCATGGAACTAAGCCCCAGACATAAGTCCAGGGGCGTTTTACGAGTGCTCTGCCCCGGGGCGAGCTCCGGGCGAGTCCCAATTCTGCCTTTTAAAACAGAGATATTAGCATAACTTATGCTCGAATCTATGTTACTATAAGGGATAGAATGTGGAGTACGAATACATGTATTATCAATTTAGCAATATGTCGATTAGAGAATCTAAAGACAAAACTGCACTTAAAAGTATGCAATCCCCAGCAACAGTCCGTGTATTATTACTAGTGTCCTTTTAACAATCAATACATTGTTATTTAGACTACATAACAATTCTTACATTATAGTCCTTGCATAACTAGACCGCGAACCAAGCAACCCTTAATTTCTTGTCCTTTTAATGTTTGCTTACCAGAAGTAGGCAAGATATGATGCACCAAGCTTTGACTGTTGATACTTTGATGCAAACCATTGGCAGGTGGAGGACAACGCTCTATATTGCAAGTGTTCCAGGATTTATTCTTGCTCTTGGTATGCAATTTTCTGTTGAGAGCCCCCGCTGGCTATGTAAGGTAGCAATTTTATTCGTTGCATGTTTGCATTAACTCCTGTTGCTGTGACTACCACTAATCTTTCCTTGGGAGATATATGCAGGCTGGGAGACTCAATGAGGCAAAAAAAGCCATCAGAAACATATGGGGTTCATCAGAAGTAGATAAAGCTATCGCAGAGTTTGGATCCGTCATAAAAAATGATGGCAGTGACTTGGACAGCAGTTGGCTGGAACTCCTAGAGGAACCACACTCTAGAGGTTGTATGAAGGTGGTATTTTGTTAATGCACGATCCTTTATTCGGTTTAAGGTGGTTGTTTAGGTTTCGTATAATCTCCTTCTTTGATTTTTTTTTCCAAGGACGAAATGTTAAAATTTTTTTGTTACTCTATTACTTGTTTGGTGGAAGGCCTATTGTTAACATCTTCATATGTTGTCTTAAGATTTAATGGCATGCTGGATACTCACATGTCTTGGTGTAATATGTGCCATAATCTGGTGATAGTATGCATGTTGTGCGAGCATGCGCTTCACACAAATGTCAATCCTCCAAATTAGGCTTCAACTTTATTCTTTTTTTTTGCAGTTGCTACCATTGGAGGTGCCTTGTTTGTACTTCAACAGTTCGCTGGTATAAATGGAGTTCTCTACTTCTCATCCTTGACTTTCAAAGATGTTGGAATCTCAAGCAGTGCTTTAGCAAGCTTATATGTAGGACTGACCAACTTTGCAGGTATTTAATGGGTCTAAAGCACTTGAGACGCACTTTGCATCACCAGCTAAATTTCACTTGGTTCCAAGATAATGTTTAGTTGTGACTATGTGCTTCTTGCAGGTGCACTATGTGCTTTATACTTGATGGATAAGCAGGGGAGACGGAGGCTTCTAATAGGAAGCTACGCTGGAATGGTGAGGAAAAAATATTTCTCTCCTTAAGTAAAAGTTTTCTTTTGGGTGAAGAAGGAATGGTATGAATAACATAAATGTTCATTGCTATTGTTATGTCTTAGACCTATATCCATCAAGTGTTTTTTAAGATCAGTATTTAAGGGACTTGGAATTTATCTTGCTTGTCCTCATGTTTTCAGCCGCTCGGTATGCTTAGACGTCTTGTCTTTTAAGGATTATAGACTTCAAAACCTTGCTATGCATGGGGAAGTAGCTATGTGACTGAAATATAAGTCCCCCGCAGCATGTTTCTGGTTCCCAATCCCCTCCCCCCCACCCCCAACCCCTCTCCTTTCTGGCACAATAACAGAGAAGGAAAATAAATATAGAATGCTTGGCGGTCATTTTCAAATAATCAACTCACTTCCATTGGATCTGTCTTTTGCAGGCTTTATCAATGTTTCTTATTGTTTGTGCTATCAGCTTTCCATTGGAAGGTGAAATAAGCAACAACTTATCAATACTCGGAACAATCTTGTATGCATCCATCTTTACCTTTTCATAAAAATTAAAAAAGCAAAGCAATCTTGTATGTGTCCATACAAAAAATGCTCTGAAAATACTGCTTGCATTTCCCTGTGCTCTCTCTTTACCATTTCACTCTGGTATAGGTATATTTTCACCTTTGCTGTTGGAGCTGGGCCAGTAACTGGTCTTATAATACCAGAGCTCAGCAGCAGCAGGATGCGAGGGAAGATAATGGGCTTTAGTTTCTCCGTTCATTGGGTATGTAGCAAGATCATGTGTGTCATTTCTGTGTGTCAAACCGATTAGCTGTACCTATTAAGTTGATGCATGAACTCTCTCTCAGTTTTAATTTTTACCTTTTTCCCGCATCTGTTCCTAGCCAATGGGAGTTGAACACTAAGGGGGCTATTTCTCTGACACCCTTTAGAGTTTTTTTTTTTGAGCTTTCTATCGCCATTCGCAATTTATCGCTTTCCTCTTGTTAAATGCTACTTATTATGTTTTCTTGCGAAAAATGTTTCTACTGATTTGGACGTGTTGATGGTGATTGGAACAGGTCTGCAACTTCTTGGTGGGTTTGTTTTTTCTGGAACTCGTTGAGAAATTTGGTGTTGCTCCAGTTTATGGAAGCTTTGGTGTTTTTTCTTTGATGGCAGCAGCATTTGCTTACTATTTTATAGTTGAGACTAAAGGCCGATCTCTTGAAGAGATTGAGATGTCACTAAATCTCAATTTTGAGGGCAAACGTAATTCAGAATAATCTCATCTCATACTGATCATCAAGTCGCAAGACTGCGCTTTTGCTCATTTCATTTTGACCATCTTGATGCTTTGATTGGTCTTGGAGCTAAAAATCAAGCTACATTGTCATGACATAATATGTGCTGGATTTTATTTCATTTTGTACTATAACTCATAAACAACATTGTAAATGATATTGTAATATTATTCTTTTGTTAGTTTCTTTTGCAAACTGAGATTTTTTTCGAAGGGTCTTTGTTATTAAACCTTCACTAAACAGGGAATTATTGTTAGGTTCCTTATAAGTTGATGGCATCAGTTTCAGCTTCAAAGAAAGAGATTTGAAATCCTTTAGCAATTTTTGAAGGGATACATTGTGTAAGAATAGAGAAGGAAGGTAACTTTAGTGGAAAAATGATGCATTCTTTTTGTTTCTTTTCTGAGTTGGTAGTAATGTTTCATTTTTGCTCGTGCCGAGGGTCTACTGGAAATAACTTTTCTACATTTTGCTCGTGTCGAGGGTCTACTGGAAGCAACTTTTCTACATATACTATAGGGTTAAGATTTGCGTACTCACTACCCTCCACAAACTCCACTTGTGGGATTATAATGGATTTGTTGTTGTTGTTGTTCTGAGTTGTAGTAATGCACTACTCTCCATCTTGAATTCTGTAACTTATGTTCAACTTCAGCTTATGATTGTCTAGAGCAGTAAATATTTTTTCCCAGTAATATGTATTAAGACCGCTATAACTAAAGCTGTTAAGGATTTTGCACTGAGATTTCTTTTAGGTGGTGGGGTCATAATATCTCCCTCAATAAGTTAAGTTGATTTGATTTCAGAATGTGTTTTCTTGTCCCTGTCAACCTTTTTGTGTCTTCTCCCTGATACTCTATATCTTATTTGGTTGAATGCAGAATTTTGTACTTCCTTGTTTCTATATGGCTATACTTGATTGTTCTCTATCAAGGCTGCAATACACAGTTTCAAGAATCATTCTATCTTTTAGCAGACTGGTTAAATGCTCACATATTGCGTTATAAAAATTCAATAGGTAAAATATACATTGGATTTGAGAAGAAATTTAATGTCAAAAACTAGTACTGACTTTCATGCCATTCCCATATCATTCATGTCTGTTATACAACAGAACAAGACTAAATAGGTTGTATGTACACCTAATTTTCCTCATATTATAGTTGAAGCGATTAAAATATCGCCTTATAGTTGGAAGGTACGATGCTATTTGTCGCGTTTAAATAATTTAAGTTGAGTTTTGATATCAATATCAATAAAAATCAAATTATATATGGGAAGATCAAGCAATTAGTCGATTTTCTAGTTTCAGAATATGAAACAGACGTGCAATTGATATATAGCAATTTGGCAGTGGAGGTGCAGTGTCGTTTACTCTTTGCAGATTCATCAACAAATGAATTGCGACAACCTGTGACAATGTGACAAAGGGACTTTATTCCATACTTCACAAAATTGGGTGATAGAAATTACCCTTTTCTCTGCTTATCCTTCGAGAATCTTAAAAAGTGCGAATCCTTTTCAAGCCTTTTCTTTTTCTCAACTTCCTTTTCACACAATCATCTCTTTTTCTTAAAATTGTTCCCCCCCCCCC